ATAAAACAAATAGATAAGCCAATCAAAATATATAATATTAAATTATTTTTTGTATAATAAAAATAAAATAAAAATAAAAATTAATAATATCTAAAATTTTAATTATAAAACCATCTTTTGGGCTTTAAAAAATTTTTTGCAAAATTTTATTATAAACTATGTTTTTTACTAACTCTAACTTCTAACTTTAATTCTAAAATTAATTAAAATTATTATTGTTTACTTGTTTTTTAATAAAAATTAATATTCATATTTTAAACACCCTATATATACTTAGTAATTCTTAATTTTTTAATACTTTAATTATTAAACTAAATTTAATATTATCATTTTTAAGTGATATAATATATTTTTAAATAACTTCAAATTTTAAAAATTTTTATTTAATTTTTTAAATTTAAAGTACTAAACATATTAAAATTTTTTTTTGTAAACTAAATTATATATTATAAAGATTTAAATAATAGTATATAGTATTATTACAATGATTTGCAATAATTTATTATCAAAAGATATATAAACCCTGCCTTTTCTTCAAAGCAGAGAAACATCAATGTATACTTCACAATTTATTTTTTGAATATTTACATTGTTTTTGGATATATTTAACTCTTCTCTTTGATTATTTTCTTATAAAAAAGTTTCTTTATTTTGTATTTTTTTAGTAATAAACTATTATGTTATTGTGTTTTTATAATATTTTTATAATATTTTTATTGTATTTTCTTGTGAATTTATTGCTAGTTTTGATTTATACTTGAATAAATCTTGTTATTTTTGATTTCTTGTTTAGTTATTTTATAGTATTTTTATCTTAATTTAGGTTTTTCTTTAGTTTTTTTGTTTAAAACATTTCTTAACCACTCTTATACATTAAGTTAAGTAATATATTTTTTGACTTAACTAGCGATGATACATTTTATTATTAAAATATTTAATATTTAGTTAAACCAAGCAAGCATATTACAATCTATAGATCTGCTAATTTAAAAAATGTATTTAAAAAGTAAATTTTTGAAATTAATATTGGTAATAATAATATTTTGGTTACAAAATTTAAAAAATAAAATTACTATATATCACTACTGATGATCATCACCAGATATAATATATAAATCAAAATAATTTAATTTAATTCTTTTAATATTAGAGTAAGGGTGAGAATATAATATTGGGATTAAGCAAAGTTTATAGTAAAATTTTGCAAAAAATTTTTTTTATTAAGGCCCAAAAAGTGATTTCATAGATAAAATTTTAAGATACAATTAATTTTTTAAAAATTCTTTATTTTTGTTATACAAAATTGATTTACACATTACACCTGATTTTGCAAATTAATTGGTTAATTATATACTGGTGATGATCACCAGTGGCGATAAATAGCAACTTCAAAAAAAATTATAAATTAACAACTAAAGTTAAAAAAACTAAATAAATATAAAACCTCGTCCCGGAGTATTTTCCGGGTCTGAGAGTTTAGTGTATTTTACTAAAATAATTACACTTGATTAAGAATTTCTATTTGATTTTGCAAAAATAAATATTATTTATCATAAAAAAATTTATTGGTTGGTTAATAATGATTACATGAATAAAATATATATTAAAATAATAAATATAAAAAATTAGGTAAAATCAATTTTAATGCGCAATTTATGTAATTGAAATAATTTACACAATTTAGAAGTAACTAATAATGTAAAAAAAAAATATTACCACCTATCGTTATCATAAGATAAACATGACGCGAGATCAATCAGAGGGGTCTGTATCAAAATCCCAACAAAAAAAATCCCGACAGTTAAAAATCCGACAGTTAAAAATCCCGACAATTAAAAATTCTGATAAAAAAATATCATAAACCATAGCTAACCCTAAAGTTAATTGAATTATAAGTGTCTACTTTGCTTTAAACATACCCCATATTCGGGATTTTCTACTTGAAAATTATGACTGCAGGGATTTTTAATTGTCGGGATTATGGCTTGTTGGGGATTGTGCTTGTCGGGATTTTGACTGGCACTCAATCAGAGAAATATGCCGATTGGTCACTTACTTTATTGAACAAGGGATTTTTTTACTGAGATATAAACAAAACTCAGTCCAAACCAAGAATAAATTGAAAAAGAAATCATCATGAATAAAAATAAAAATAAAAATAAAAATAAAGGATAAACAATAACATACATCCCTTAGAAGTAATCGTCAAAAAACACGAGGATTACTTATTGGTAATCTGCTATAAAAAATCAAGCCGAGAGCGAGAAGATGCAGAAGTTCGAATACACAAGTTGTCAATAGAAATGATAGCGTAAGTTTATTAAATAAATAAATTTACAGTAATTAGATTTACAGTAAATATTATGTTAAATAATGGTAAATAATGGTAAATAATGGCATCCAATAATTATCTAAAAGTCTATTATAGCAACAAGTGAGGACATATCACGCAGAGTCTTAGTAATATCAAGTGGGATCAAACACAGATTAGAAAACCTAATTAATTAAAAAAGCGAATTATTTGTCTGATGATGATATTAAAGTTCAAGTTGCTTTTGCTACACTTCCGAATTTAATTCAAGAAAGGATTAAGAATAGAAATAAAAGCGAAAAAGAAGAGAATCAAGCAAGTAAAGAAAATGATGGAATCGGTATTAAAAATTTGAAAGGATTGTGGAAAATTGTTGAAGAAGCTGTGAAGAATAATCCTTCTCAAGAACTATAACTGAAAGATAGGTATCGATATGTACAGTACGTACAATACAGTACATAGTACGTACGGACGTACATACTAGTACATACGTACTGTATGTACATACGTACGTACGACCCAAATCACGTGCATTCTTTGCATTAATAGTTATACAAATTTATATATTTATATATTTCCAATATTTCCAATACTTTATTGTGTATGTTTACGTACGTATGTGCATAATATATATAGGTAGTAACACCCTTAAATGCAATGAATCTATCCCCAATACGGAATTCATACAAGCATTCTGTCAGAACAGACAGAGAATATGTACGTACGTACGTACGTACGTATGTTTTGTAAGCGTATCATAAGATTATTAATAAAAGCCATACTCTTTATAGAATAAGACCCTTTCATTGAATAAGTTTCAAAAATCTTAACAAACAAACATTTGAAGAGAATTATTACATGTGATAGTGTGACAAACAGAAGTCTAAAGTAATCAAATATTTATTAAAAGAAATTTAGTTGGTGGGATTCTTTGATCAGCAATTTAGTTTGCATGCAAAAGGATTTAGGAAAAAGGAAACTTGCTTGAATTGAAATGAATTGATGAAATTTAATTGGTGTACCACACGATTATAACTATTAAAAGGAAAATAATTAAAATCTAATAGCTGACATTGAAATTAAAGCCGAGTAAGTGTAAAAACGATGAATTCAAACTTATGCATGCATTTGGAATCGGTACGAGAAACGTGAAAAAAGACAAATATTTTTTGTGATAAATATTTTGTAAATATTATAAATATTTTGTAAATACTATAAATATTCATATTTCTTACCTCCCCCTCGCCAAGGGTTTACCAAGGGTTTACCATACATAATTATATGTAATCTTATACCCCTTAATCAACATTAAGGACTGTTATAAAAACCAAATTAATCCTTTAAAAAAAAAACCTACATTATTTTTTTCGATTAATTTTTTTTTCTTGTTATAATAACTTGATATAATTTTTTTTTTTACAAAGATAGATACCTTTCATTTTTCCTTTCCCCTTCTTCCGTTCTCCGATGCATGTTAGGCATGATGCAATCATCAAAATTTTTGATATTTGTTCTCTATGACATCCTTATTACCTTGACACCTATCCTCGCTGATGTATCATCTGACATTAATATTAATGACACAAATGATATAAGATCAAAATATACCACTACTAACGACGAAGTTAATTATGTTACTTCAGTTCGACTTGATAATCCAGAAAACATTAATGATTTTAAACTTGTAGTTATAACTACTTATTTGATGGCTTTTTTTAATACTATTGGTTGTTCGTACGTTTTTTATCGGAGTTGGCTGCAATGGAAAATATCATCAAAAAGTTTATCAATGATTTTTCGATTACCTTTTTACACTGCCATTGCTGGTGAGTTTAATGATACTGTATTGAGGATATTGAGATTAATATTACATTATAAAATGTTAAATTAATATTAGATATATTAATATTAAAGCTAATGTTAATATTACAGATATTACAGTATTAAATTAATATTAGATTGATGTTAATTATTAATTATTTTTACGTAATAGATGCGGGAATTGATTTAGCTGGGATTATAAATATCGTAAGTTTTAATTTTATCACTTATTTTATCATACATCTAAGATCATTTAATAAATTTAAGACTGGTATATTAAATTATATATAGACTCATACAGCTATTTATGCCGAAGTCTGGGATCAACCCATGTGTACAATATTAAGTGTAATGTACTTTTTTTTCGCAACCGTTAATTTAGCTCTATATGGTACTGTAAGGTATTATACACTGCGTTTATATTACGTATATTCTGTATATTATGTATATTCTGTATTAGTTTTTATCACGTGCTTGCTTAACTTTGTGGTAACTTTATGGTCTTCTAGCATGACAACTTATCTTCGTGTTTGTCGACAATTTTATTTCGATCTTGGAAAATTTGATTATAAATTATGGTTTGTCATTCTGGTCGTCGCTATAATCTTTCAGGCAGTTGCTGGACCATATTACGGTCCTAGAAAATATTGGTAAGTTTTTTAAGTTTTGCTTGTCTTTATTTGTCTATTCGTTTCTATTCTAAACTTTTTCAACTCTATTCTAACCTTTATTCTTTATTTTAATAAGGTGTGCAGCGCAAACAAATAACGTGTTAATACCAGTTATAAGCTTCACTTTAACATCCTTTATTTTCCTCCTTGTAATAATATGTTATATTTCAATTCTTAAAACTTTACTTGGTCATACAATGGAGTTTTATGCTGATGAAAATAATTTGAATGCCAATGATGGTAGAGCTACTAACGAAGGTAGAACTGCCAATGAGGGTAGAATTAGGAATAATACTCCCGGCAGTGAAATGGCACGAAATAGAAGTAGTCTTGAAAGGCGTGTATCCAATAAAATAATAAGCTACGTTCTTGTTTTTATTTTGCAGGTACTTCTTATTCGATAAGATTAAGTTAGTTTATTATTTAATTATTTTATTTATTATTTATTATTTATTTATACTTTTTATATTTTTATATGTTTTATGTTTTTAGTGGACTCCTGTGCAAATATTTTTTGCTGCTAAATTCTTTGAGGTAAGTTTAGTAAAAATACATCTAGTCGTATTCCTCATATTCCTCTAATTCTTTTATTCTTATGAACCTTTTTTTTTAAAAAAAAAAGATTGACTCTTCATGGATATACGTTGTCTTTGTTATAGGTAAGATTCTCACTTCATTTGTTTTCCTAATGTTTCAATATAAAAATTCATCTAACTCTAATATAACTCTAATATAACTCTCCTATAACTCTAATATAACTAATCAAATTATTTCAAAAAAGGTGTCCACTTTGGTGGATTGGGTAACGCTATCCAATATATAATGAACGAGGGTTGGCATCCTCGTGATGTCGATTCAAACGTGAGCTGGTCCTTTGCAGAGTCACCCTCTCATTTCCTCAAACGTTTTTATCCCAGTTCTCGAAACATGCACGTCCCATCATCCATGTCATCACATCCATCATCTTCACGTCCACCATCCTCATCAACAGTTTCAATTGGTGTCAGAAATTCTCAACAAACTATCAACAATAAGATGAATAATAATAATCGCAACAGTAATAATAATAATAATAATAATAATAATAACGCCTTTTATTCTAATCGTCATCATCATTCATCATCGACAATTTCCAGTCCGCATTTTTGTGCGCACAAGGCTTTTGACAAATATGGAACAACTAATTCTATAGGTAGTGATTTTTTGAACAATGCAAATAGTAGCAATAATAGTGTAAAAGAGTTAAATTATAACCTATACAATATTGAAATTAACATTGACACTGATAATTTTGTGGCTGAAAGTGAGATAGCATTAAGTAAGGTGAAGATTAAAGAAAAATAATACTTTAGAAATATTAATCCCGTGATCTTGAAATAGTGATTGAAATTGAAATAGAAATAGTGATCGAAATTGAAATAGAAATAGTGATCGAAATTGAAATAGAAATAGTGATCGAAATTGAAATAGAAATAGTGATCGGGATTAGTAAAAAAACACTTTATGAACATTCCTAAAGATGAAAGCGATGAACATTCCTAAAGATGAAAGCGATGAACATTCCTAAAGATGACAGCGATGAACATTCTTAAAGATGACATTCCTAACGATGAAAGAAATGATTGAATTTTAGCATTAGCATTTGTAACAACATTATTTGTCTATCTGATGTTTTTTTTTTGTTTCTTGTATCTGATGCATGTAAATTTCAATTTGTATAAACCAATATATATTTCATTACACTTTATTGCATTTGTTATACATTTATTGCTTGATTGCATTGGTTACACTTTTATCACTTTATTACATTGTTACACTTTTACACTTTATTATACATTTATGTTCTTTGTTTCAATTGTGCATTACATCGAGAACTTATTCTCATTTCTGTGATATAACAGTTTAAACCATTATTTATTATTTATTAATCTGCAAAAAATGATGGAATTTTAATCGACGAATCTGCGATCCTCTGTTTTCAGTCGGTCTGTGTTTGAGTCACATATCACAACATGACAAAACATCCCAGATTCGCTAATTAATATTGATTAATATGACTAATACGACCATTTACTAGTTTACTTTTTAATTTCACAAATCTTGTTAAAAGTTTCAATTCCGATATACATTAATAATTAACTTTAATTTTTTGTATCAAAAGACAATGATGTGTTTCATTAAATCAAATGCTAATTTGGAAACGTTAATAATTGTATCTCGTTACACTAGAATTAATTATGATCATTACATTACATTGGATTCTTACTTGTTACGCTTAATGTATAACCTGTTTGGTAAATCAGAAATCTCTTTACTTATACGTATATCAGGATGTGTCAAATCTACTTTCGTACTTTTTAATACCAATCCGACTTACATATATGTACATGTAATATAGCGCAACAGTTATTATTATTGTTACATCAACATTTTTCTTCAAAATATAAATGTTATCCTAACCAAAAAATTTTTTACAAAATCAAATCTCCTCTAATTATTTTGGAAGTCTTTGATAGACTCGAGAAAACCAAGTTGTTGAGAATACCATTCTTTTCACATTCTTACCAAATGATAATCCTTTGATAAAATACTTTTTCTTTTTTTTCTCAACAATTTGTTAAATCATTTTATTGTCACGAATTAAAAAGTGACATTTTCCAAAGAAAAATTTTGACGAAGCCACAAATAACAAGGCTAAGAAAATACCCAATTACGTTAGTTTTTGCCAAACTTTTCCTAAACTTTGATAGTTTTTTTCTTTTTGAGAAAATCCCCGTTTTTTTTTATATATAATACACTATCACGTACTATATCAAAAATGGTAGTGATTAAATATATATTTGTCTTGGCATTTTGTTTATTTTTTGAAATTGTTTATGGAGGTATAAATCGAGACTATATGCTCCAACTAGTTAATAATGCGCGTAGAAATTCAGGTGCACCTCCACTTAAAATGGATAGGTAAATTTTTTTTTTTATTAATTTGTATTGTATATAATATGTATTGCAATATTATATACATATATATTTGTGATCTCTTGCAGTATAGGTGAATCTCTTTAATAATAAAACTTATTATTAAAACTTATTATTAAAACTTATTATTAATCAACTTGATTATATAAAGTTGATTATTAAGTGGGATCACCTATACTTACTGCAAGAGATCTCATATTTTTTTTGCATAGTTCATTTTAATTTTTCTATACGTACTAGATTTATAAATATACAATATATACTAATATGGTTTTTTTTTTCAGTCGTCTCAATGGTGTGGCTCAACGTCACAGTGAATATATGAGAAGAATTGATACTTTAACACATGATGATGAAGATGGTGATTTTGCGACCAGAGTTACTGAAACTGGTTATGATTGGAATGCACTTGGAGAAAATATAGCTAGTGGATTTCGAAATGAGGATGCGGTTATGGATGGGTTATTATTATTAATTTTTCGTATTTTTTTCGTATTATTTTTTAACAGTATTTTTAAATTTTATTCTTTATTAAATACTATAGATGGATGCGTTCTCCACCACATAGGGGTAATATTTTAAATCCAAATTTTAGGGATTGTGGTTTTGGAAATTCTGGTAGTTATTGGACTCAAGACTTTGGTCGTACATTTGAAGAAGATTCGGATCAAAGCTCTGACTCGGATTCTGATCAAAGTTCTGACTCGGATCAAAGTTCAGATTCGGATCCTGATCAAAGCTTCGATTCTGATCCTGATCAAAATTACGATGATCAAGGTTACGATGATCAAAGTTACGACGATCAAAGTTACGACGATCAAAGTTACGATGACCAAAGTTACGATGATCAAAGTTACGATGATCAAAATTACGATGATCAAAGTTACGAGGATCCTGACCAAAGTTACGAGGATCCTGATCAAAGTTACGAGGATCCTGACCAAAGTTTCGAATAGGATTCTGACCAAGAATAGGATTCTGACCAAAGTTTCGAATCGGATCCTGACTAAAGTGCAAGTGTGATTCTTGATAAAGATTGGAAATTCTGTGAAAAATGTTGTTACGTGGATTTTATTTTATTATTATTATTTATTTATGATTTTTGCATTTTTAGGAAAAATTATTATTAGAAACTTTAATTTATTCGTTGTAAATCGTGTAACTAAGCTTTGTTTAATTCACGTTTGTTTTTTTATATTCTCTTAAAATTGTAAATTTGGGTTATTATTATGTAATTTTTTTTTACGATTTTATTGTAATTTTATGTAATAATTCAAAATGTTCTCAAAAATTGTTAAAATTCATGAAAATTTATCTAAACAAAAATTATAATGTAATAGAATTTTACTAAAAACGCACCTATGGTGTTTTACACTTAGGTATACGTTATCTCAAAAACTGGCTAATTAATCGGTGTAAGGTGTTCTAATTAAAAATGTTCTACGTCCCAAAACCCTTCCCAAACCCTAATCCAAATTTAATATTAACTTTAACGTGTTAAAAATTTTATATACAAAACTTATAAAAAATTAAAAAATTTTAAAAAACAATAAAAACATATAATAGGTGCATTTTATAATAATTGATGTAATAAATCATTACGTATTAGTTGTTGCGGCTGAGCTGAAGCTGGAAATTATGTATCTCGATTTAAAGAAAATATATACCCTACCAAAATCAACATACGTATATAACCTAACTACCAGATTGGTAAAAAGTCCCTAAACAGGATCTTTGTGTTGTTATTTCCGCTAATACTAAAAGTTTTTTTTTTTTTTTTTTAATAAATCTATATGTATATTTGCAATACGTGTCATTTAATAATTTACAAAAATGATCCTGTCATATGGGCCAAAATTTTTGATGGGAATTTCGTGATTAGTAAAATTAAGTGACATAGTAATAAAATAATATTTATGATTGGCTACATTTAATTAAAACCGCTAAATGATCATACGATTCGTAAAATTACTTATAAACGGTTTCATAAGGGTTTCATAAGCAATTCATGATTAAAAAGATGATCTACCAATCAAATATTCAGTTTTATTATATTTTTCTGATTTAATTCCGGTAATTACGCAATATCACATAAATGATTGGTAATGATTGGATTAAAATTTATGAAATATCGTCATATAATCTTTAATAATCACCAAATCAAAAAAATTCGCCCATATGTTAAGTGCGCGCACACTTTTTTCTTTCTTTTTTCTAAAAACAAAAAGAAGGCTTATATATTTCGATAAAAATAAATAAATAAATAAATAAATAAATAATCAATAGCGTATCATAGATACCAATTTACAATCACTCGGATCATGATTTTTTTGGCACAGGGTTAAAAATTGTTAGCACGTAAGGAAATCATTTGTTATGCAAGCGTATACAGTTTACAAATCTTTGGCGATACCTTTTCCAAGCCTCTCAATTACAACAGTTTTTAGTAGCCACCAGTTATTTTCTTGACTATTATTCGTTAGGAACTGCAACATTAGCAATTCTTTCGCTCTCTACAAACTTTGACTACAAGGATTATCTGCCAATCAAGCCGGCAAAATACCAAAATAAAAAAAAAAACAAAGAAGAGAAAAGGCCAGAGCAATATAAAAATCACATACGGAAGCAATCATAAGCATATTAAACATATACATTTATCACGCAAATCAATATCGTTTTTACGGCTGGCATTTTTTTTCTGCATAATAGTATAAAAGTGGTCAGCTAAAGCAGGTTTTGAAATTTATCTAATTTAACGTTTATTTAATATTAGGGTTAGGGTTAGACCATTTTGATGTTATATTTAAGATGAGTTATAGGTAAAATTGCCTTCACGACATTTTTTATTAATGCACCAAAGTAGGTTTTGACTACCGTTTCTTGTATTTTCTTTTTTTTCGCTTGTTTAGTCGTGATTGCAAAAATTTCACAATTTGATTTGAATCAAAAAATTAAAAAATTAATTTCAGCCAAAATTATGTATAATGCGGGCCATAATTTTGTCGATCACAGCCGTTAGCCAATCAAAACCGAAGCCGCGCATTTTTGTGCGGCACCTAGCGCTAGGTTTAATCCAAAATTATAAAGGGTTAATGCCACATGTCAATTCCGATTTGATAGGAATCAATAAACGACACACAACAATCTTTTTACAACAAATTACCTTTTTTTATGCTTGCCTTGGAAATTTTAAAATTATTTGAGTATTCAAAGAGATCGCTTACGCAACTTTGCCATGGATCTTCGTTTTCGTTGTTACAGAATTATTATTTTACTTCTCAAGTTAAAAGTTTTATGAAAAATAAATAAAAAAATAAGAAGCACACAAAAATATTAACAAATACTTATCATCTCTTAGTTTTTGCTCA